CCGAGCTCGAGACAGCGAAGAGCGAGGGTTCCAAGGCTGCTGAACTCGAGGCTTCTCTCAAGGAGGCCAAGGACAGCCTTGCATCCAAGGAGTCTGAGTTGGAAGCCGCCAAGGCGGATGCCAGCAAGTCTACTGAGTCTTCTACCTCTAAGATCTCTGAGTTGGAGGCTTCCCTCAAGTCGGCTCAAGAGAGCCTCGCCGCAAAGGAGTCTGAACTCGAGGCCAAGTCTGCCGACGCCGGCAAGGTCTCTGAGCTCGAGAAGGAACTCGCATCTGCCAAGTCAGAACTTGAGGCCGCTACCAAGGACTCAGAGTCGTCGAAGCAGAAGATCAGCGAGCTCGAGGCTTCCGCCAAGGGTGGTGCCGATGAGTCTGCTGCTAAGATTGCTGAGCTTGAGGCATCTCTTAAGGAGACCACGAGCAAGCTGGAGGCCAAGGAGGCCGAGCACTCCGAGTCGCTCAAGGCTGCTCAATCATCAAGCGACGACAAGTTTGCTGCTCTGGAGAAGGAGCTTGCTGATGCTAAAGCTGAAGCTAGCAAGGCTGCTGAGCTCGAGGCATCCCTCAAGGACGTCGAGAGCAAGCTTGCTGCTAAGGAAGCTGAGCACGCTGACTCCATCAAGGCCGCCCAATCATCTGGAGATGAGAAGGTCGCTTCTTTGGAGAAGGAACTTGAGGAGACCAAGAAGGCCAAGCACACTGTTGAGGAGGAACTCAAGGCATCCAAGCAGGCCGAAGCTGAGGCGAAGGAGGGTGCTTCTAAGGCGTCCTCAGTCGAATCCGAACTCGCTGACCTCAAGGCATCGGCTGAGAAGTCGACTGCCGAGAAGAGCGAGCTCGAAGAGAAGATCAAGGCTAACGATGCTAAGATCGCTGAGCTCGAGTCTACTGTCGAGGCCGCTAAGGCGAAGGAGACCGAACTCACCGCACTTCAGACCAAGCTGGATGAGGCTACCGCCGCATCTGAGACTGCTACCAAGGACCTCGAGACCTCCAAGACCGAAGCTGCCGATGCTAAGAAGTCCCTCGAGTCTCTCCAGGCTACCATCAAGGAGCACGAGGAGAAGACCAGCGCCCTGACATCCGACGTCGAGACCGCAAACAAGGAGCGCGACGAGATCAAGACCGAGCTCGCCAGCGCCAAGGAGCAACTCGAGAAGGCCCAGGCAGAGCAAGAGGAACTTAAGAAGGTCAACGCTGAGGCCCTTGCAAAGGCTGAATCAAAGGAGGCTGAGAAGCCTGCGGCTGAACCTGCTGCTGAACCCGCTGCTGAGCCTGTCGCTGAAGCCAAGGAAGTTCCTGAGGCTAAGGAGGCAGAGGACACCCCCGCCCCTGCTACTGATGGAGCTGCTGAGACCGAGGAGCCGGAGACACCTACTACACCCACCACGCCTGGTAACAACGCCGAGGAAGAGGAGGGTGAGGCGAACGGCGAGTCAACACCAAGTTCCGGAAAGAACAAGAAGAAGAACAAGAAGAAGGGCAAGAAATAAACGCTCTTACGCTTGTTTAACCACTTTTCCTACGAGCATCGTCACGTCGACTTTGAGTTGATTTGGGCGGTTACTGTTATGGATGACAGATGAAGAAAAGAAGGAGATTGAGTTGGGAAGTTGCATTATACCCTTGCTGCACTGGCACCACTTACTTGGTTGGTGGCTGTGGGAGGACTTTAGACTGTTTTGTCGTACTCTTCTGTTTTTCTGGTTGTTTCCTTGTTGGTTTGATCGATTCCTGGTTTCGATCTCTCCCTATCTCTCTCCTCCTCGTTAATGACCGTTCACGCTTAGCTTGATGAAGTTTGGGCACATGAGTATGAGATGGATGAATGGAACATGAGTCATGTAGATAATGAAAGAACTACCTTTGCGTTTACACACACTTGATTGGCTTCACCTCAGCTTTGTGATCAGAATCTGCAGTTTATGATATTGGTGGCGTCGTTTGTTTCGCGGTATTGGTAAGTGGGCTTGTCGTTCATGGGTCAACGTTATGGCATAATCTGTTTCGAGATCTCTGGACGTTAGAAAGCTGTAGAACGAAGATTAGTGACATGAGGGCACGATCTACTAGTTGGATGTACGGGTAATTGGGGGCTGCTTCCAGGTACATGTATAAAAACGGTTAGCTGTCTCGTTGTTTTTTAGGTTCATTCCATGTACTGTCCACCGGGATGAAGGGAAAGATCAAACACACCCAGGAACAAGATATCTCCGAAAGTGCCACACCATGCAACAACAAAACAAAGGATTCTTCTAAAAGTTACTGCCTACAGAATCTCTACAGAAGACTACTTTTATAAGTTTTTTATACTTTAATGCTGTTGTTGTACATCTAGGGGCAAAAACGTTATCTTCACTTCGAGATCTTGGATATTTCCCTTCATCCCAGTGTGTCTGGGATCTTGCCATATACATCACTACCTCAAGTTATGATATTGGAGTCCCTGTTCTTCCTACTTTCACCATTGACAACTGCGATGACATCATTAAATGTCCCTCGTGACGAACAACGCACTCTCAAGGTTTGTAAAGTAGCCGCGGATTGATTCTCTGGCATTCCTTCATCTCGCCTTTTGTGGTTGATATCTGTTCCTCCTTGATCCATCTATCATCCTTCTCAGCAGGTCATGCTCAATTTTTTACGAAGCGTTGTATGCTAAAACCTGGCAAGTAGCCCGAGGATAGCTGTCGTTGAAGTGCATCTAGGAGACGTGGTCTGGACCATACCAACACCCAGAAGACTACAAACTTTACAAGGAGGGACGAGCGTAGGCGAGTTTGCGGTGAGAGACCATTAGCCGGACGTTAACAGCTTACTTGTCGTAAGGCTATGACCTATCGTCGACTTGTGCGTGCGTGGCTGGCTCGAGTTGTGTGTCCAGGCGGTGAGCAATGACAATGCGTGAAGATGATGTACTTGCTGATCTGTTTCGAGCCGTTGGCTCTACTCTTTCTTGCTCGCTTCCAGTGCAGATCCGCGCTGTAACGACCAACAAAAATGGGAGTTGTGAGTAGAGTTGGTAGTGTTGTCTACCTTTGGTTCCATTTTGATGGTTGCCTACAAGATATGTATTGATGGAATGTAGCTAAGAAACCTAGCCTTGCATTGGGAGTGAAGGAATGCTAATTCTCTCTGCAGCACTTGTCAATAACTGCTTTTTCCATCGTCGACCCTGGCACACCGAGAATAATACCGTGAATGCCATGGCGTCCTGGTCGCACATCGAGATCTAGAGAGAACTGCGTCTGTGTTTACTTAAGCTTTCCATTGATATCGATAGACAATTCGTAGCTTGCTTTTAAAACAACCTTAAACATTGCGCGTGGCGACTTCTCGAATTGGGCCCTTGGCATGGATGATTCTGACCGGATGCAAAGGCACTTGAATCTCTTACTTGGGCAAGATCATCGCGGATTTGGTCTTCATGTCTCAGTACGCGGGTCGCCAAAGACAAAGAGGACCATTCCAACTCATTTTGTTTTGAATGAACATAGCTAATCTCCCTTTTGATGCACCATGACGATCACCCTCCCTCTCTTAACACTCGAGGCATAGGTCGCCTCACTACTTCTCCACCAGTCTGGACAAGTGATGTGTCTAGCGCTAGGTTGTGCGTTTAGGGTCCGACATCGTGAAAAGCAACATCAACCGGACTGTACGTGCGTCCGACTAGCATTAGCCAGGAGACTGCTTAGCTGACCTCTCCGAGTTCACCCAGGTTTACTGTGGCGGTTCTCTTCGCTTCTTCCTTTGAAGAAAACCATGTCTTTGCCTTCTGGTCTCGTTCTTGTGCGGCGATGTGGCGGCGCTTGGAGAAGAATGCTCTATTGAGTTGAAGGATTGACGGAGATGGACTTCTGGTGCTGTCGCCACGAGAGTCTCGGAAGATACTCCGGGGTACATGCGGGAATCTCCATGCAATGCAGTGCAATGCAGTGCAATGCAGTGCAATGGTCATTTAGCGCATAGCAGACATAGTAGATTCTACAATGCGATTAACAAAGTCGTTGAAGTGCATCGTGGTTCTAAATGCGCCGACATGCGTGATGTGGTCGCCCTGCCCCACTTTGGCCGGACCGAGCGGGCGCTAAGTAGACACCGAGGACCCAACGATGTTTGCTCTTTCTCGTCTCCCTTTCTCAGCCTCGCCTTCTCGATTTCGTTGCTGCAATCAGTTTGCATATGCTATTGTGTCTTTAAGCTAACACTTCCTTTGCCTTCACGGAAGTATGCTTGGTCACGGATCAACTGCTTGAACTTCATGCCGTCTTCCTCGAAGTCTGAAGAGCCTATTCGCCTTCTTGCGCGCATAGCTTCCAATCTGGTTACGATGTCTTCTCGAAGCCTTGTTCTAAGGAACAAAGCATCAGTTTCTAACGATACCCGCAAGCTAGTACTTCAAGAAGTGTAGATCCTTGCCATCCTATCCGGCATGGCATTCTCCAGAAAGAATGAGAGCAGACTATCTTGGGCATCGTAGGATCTGCTGGTTCTCGTTTCATCTGGCGAAGGCTCTGAATCAACGGTTCACGCCGATTGTGCGCATTGTTCAACATCAAAGTTGATACCAACCGTATGGTGCATTGCATCTAGATATGTGGTGCACACTGTTCAACACGATGCGACCTTCCGATCTGACGGAGGCAAAGGCAAGGTGCTGGCCATGAGATGAATTTTATTCCAGAAATCTGGAAATCCACCGAAGACTGGCCGTTGGAGCTAGTTCATGCAGTCTATTACCTGGTAGATTTGATTAGCATAGATCTGATCTTCATGCTTGTAGTCACTGCTCTTGTGAAAAGCAATGTCAGTACCGTGCGCTGGAAGAAGCATCTGAACAGACACCGACATTCGAAACCTTTGAGATTATAAGAATAAGCCTCCATGCCGTCTTCTTGCTCATCAGCTCAACAACAATAACTCAGTCACTACTACAATACCTTACTTTACTTTAATATTCTTACGATCATTCATATCGAACTTAATCAAACGCCAACATGAAGTTTCTCGCTATCGTCATCGCCGCTCAGCTCGCTACCGCGCTGCCTCTAGCTAAGGAGGCCGCCTGCGATGGCTCTGATGGTAGGTGGCACTCATTCTCCCAGTCATCTATGTTCAGCATATAGGACTGTTTTGCGCATAACAAACAAAAGCTTACGTTTACAGTCCTTTGTCAACTCACCAATCCTGTCCAAGAGCAGGTTGACAACGCTCCGGTTCGCAGCCCCAACAGGCGCGACGAGATTGAGGACCTCCTTTCCGGCATCGACATGTCTGACATGCCTGAGAAGGGAGAGCCCATCCCTGCTCGCCCAAGCGAGCGTGACACCGTCACTCCTTCTGCTGACGACGTCTCCGAAGCCGGCCCAGAGGTGTATCAGGAGACATACAACATGAAGCCCGAGGTGACAGAGGTGACCGATGAGTCCTACGACGATGTTCTCCCTGAACTGTCAGACAGTCTGAGCAAGAGGGGTCTTTTCGACGACCTAAGCCTTGACAAGACTCTCCCTGAGTTCGAGGACTCTTACGAGGAGACCGTGCCTGAGGTCACCAGCGCTGCCTATGAGGGTGTGCCTGAGGTCACCAGCGCCGCTCACCAGGCCAAGCCTACACCTGCTGAGGCCGCCTATGGTGCTCTTCCCACCCCCGCTGATGTGTACGAGGCTGCTCCCACTCCCAGCGAGGTCTACAACGTTGCTCCCGTCAAGCCCAGCAACGTCTACGTTCCTACACCCACCAAGGAACCTACCTACGGCGCTCTTCCCACTCCTGTCAAGGACACCTACGAGGCTGCCCCCATTGAGGACTCCTACGACTCCCTCGGCGACTCCCTCGACTTCGACCTGGGTTTCCGCAAGAACTAGATCAATCAGGTCAGCTATGCCGGTGTGTGATGCGAGCATCACCATGCGAGACCGAATACAGCAGTTGCGTTTGTCTGCCTGTATCTAGTCCCAGCCAATACGGCGCCTTTCCGTTTGTCTATAGCTCATCAGAGCGACTTTTACCACTCGATCTGGCTGTTCAGTTCCAGTGTACCTGTACTCTTAATTTAGTATCACCTATCGAAAATGGCACTCATTTATATGCTTTTAGGCATGATCCACCATAAGCATCGATGTCTCCTATAACTTGTCCCATCAAATGTGCATCCATCCAAGACGTAGCTTCTTACTTACTACTTTTTAGTCCCCGAGTCTGGAATCACTGAGCCGAAGTACACTGGAGCTCCAAACATGGCTCACGACGGTAGAGATATCCGATGGCTGCGATTGCTTGCATGGTCTGCACCATTGAAACACATTAAATAGTCCCAAGGCTCGTATAGGCGTGGAAGATGTGCGGGGTCAGGCTGAGAATTCATCAGGCTGATGCTGTCACTTCGGTTACGACTCTTCCAAGCCAATAATACCGCGTCAAACGTACCAAGAGATGGGTCAGTCGAAGGAAGGAGACATAAATCCTATGTTAAACCGTTGTTTCATGCGCCATCGCTTGTCAGAACCCTGTGGTGCAATCATAACACTGCAGTTATGTCTACATCCGGCGACGTGGTGTTGCGATAACAGCATGTCGATATTTTGAGAGCAGCTGCCACATCCTCAGTGGTCGGTTTGATAGTAACTGCATCTGCGGAAACGGCTGTCAGTCTCTGGTTTGCTGTCTTCGTAGGTATATGCGCCCCCTACAGCGAGCGACGGGTGATAAGCCGTACCGTTAAAGAGGTCTAGATGATACCATAGTAGTATATATTATGATGTTATATCCCACATCAAAACAGCTTCACCATCAAATCTTGCCCCACGTCTCATTCCTACCGCCAAAAATTTCCAGCAAGTCTGTCATGATGGAATTCGAGCCATACACCGCCAATCACTTCAACTCTGCTCCAGATATACACGATGCGTACAAAACGTACGAGACTGAGAACTTGGAGTACTTTGTCTGCACCACGATCCGCGACATGTTCGTCGCTCACGGAGTCCATAATCTCTTTGGTCTGACTCTCATCCACAATCACTTCCAGCTCGAAGAGGCCGAAAAACTCGTTCACGTTGACAACATTGCGCAGCCTTGGAATGATAACACGGCGCGTAAGGAGTTACTCGCCGACGTTGTCCCTACGCAATGGCGCTTCACCGAAAGTGGTATCGCACCATTTGAGTTCAGCTGGACGGGAAGCGATCGCAGTATCTCAGACTTTGATCTGCACAAACACCAAGGTTTTCTGCAAGAGTTGCAAGCCTTCCTGAAGCTGCAAAGCTTGTTGGGCATATTCGGCGTCCAGTATCTGGATGCGTCTGTCCCAGCATTGAATGCCAAAGATGTGCCTGTGGAGATGACGAGGGAAAGGGTAAATATTACCCTTCCTTTTGTGCTGAACGAAGGGGACGAGCAGGCGAACTTCGAGGTTCTCTGGCGCTTTGATCCTATGATCAAGCTGGCAAAATGCTGCGTTGGAAAGTGTCTGGACAAACAATCTGGACATCCGAAGTCTCATACACACAAAACTTGCTAAGAGCAGGCATTTCGCATAATCCTCGTGGGATTCATGCGACCGTTGTAGAAAACGCAGAAGGATGATATTATTGGGGACATGAATATGCCATTTTTTCACTTTCCAGTTTCTGTCACTCGCTCATAGTGTGGTACAACATAGCAAAGCAACCAGATGTGTGCCCTTAGATGACAAACCTTCACCTTCTACACGGCCACCGATCCAGGGCAAAAAGTCTTTGCGCGCGTCTACTTTCGAGCCTGCAGTGAGCATTGCGTTATCTCACGTGGTCTAACGTGAGATTAGCACTCATACCCCAGCCGACCTGAACCCTGGCTACGCCCGTGATCTAAGCGTTCGTCTACGTCAGGTCGAAATGATCAGATGCGTCGAACGGCTGACCCGTCTCCATGAACATGGATGTTGAGTTGAGTTTGGCATCCTGCTGAGAAGACCCACCGGTTGCGCCGATCAGCTCTGGGTTATCTGATGAACGGATGATATGTAGGCAGAACCCGTGCAGTCGGGCGTGATTCACACCCTACCTAGTCCGGCGCATCGCCTTCCTCCGAATACTTTTTTATCCTGAATTCTAAGTCCTGGTAAACGCAGCCTATTCCTGTTGTACACCGAACATATAAGCAACATGCACGTTCTCGTGGTGCGGACATATGAAACATTGGCAAGGCACATATGCGGCGCAGTCGCAACGTCTCGACAATAGTTGTTGGCAAGCCTTCAAAGGGACATTTCCAGGTGCCTGGAGTTGGCTTCGGGTAGTCGTTGTGGGAGCATGTGACTTCGTGGCCAGGATTGATCGCCTGAACATCTGGTGTGACGCGGGTCCTCAGTGTCGGGACAACTGCTGGTCATCTGTCAGGGCCCCAGGATACCCACCGCTCATTCCGCATCGTTCCGACTGATGCGCGCGACTTGCTGAGATCATAGTCCATAGTAGATAAGCTTAGCTGATGCCTATATCGCATCGGCGACCGCGGATGTTGTAGCTCCTTGGCAAGAACTAGGCAGTTGTAAAGGCTGGGGCCAAAGGTGGCTGCGCCCTGTAATGTGGCGGAGCTCGCATAACTTGACATATTAGGAACGAAACAGGCCGGAAAGAGATGTCTAGAAGGATTCGCATATGTGGAGGCGAGGTTTAGTGTGTTACAGATGCATTGCGTTACATATAGTGCGGTTGATAGAGTAAGGAAAATGGGAAATCTTTGGAGTCCACAACAAATGGAGAAAACAACAAGGCAGACACCAAACCTTAAGGTGTCGAAAGCAAAAGTGCCTGCGGTTGAGCAGCCATACGAAGCTGAAGTGATGCGGCCCTTTCTCGAAAGAGACATGGTCTTGGAGCTTTGAAAGATAGCGAATGATTAAAGGTGAATAGCGGAGAAACTATTGGGTATAGAGGAACATGAGAGAACGCCAGTGTAATGCAGAGCTGACCCTGCTGGATTTGACAAGGGTTCGCGATCAAGTTGTTTGCGTGAGGCATCGCCCGACTGCTCGCCATTATCCTGTACATGCTTGTCGACGATGAATCCGAAAATATGGTGAACGCCGCCTCCCGGGGTATTATGCGTCCTGTGTCCAAATGCCGAAACCGCCGTATTCAACGCCAGATCAAATACCATATGATGTTAAGAAAATTGGGAACAAGATTGTAAACTTGAGAAGATGTGCGAGATGCGCGAGGCGGATCTAGCGATAAGTGGTGTGGAGGAAGATTGGTGCAACACCCAATCGGGTTAGGCGGTCATGGATCATGCGGACATTGGCTGATCACCCGACGCTGATCAACGCCCATAACGCGTAGTCGTATCTATGGCCCTGTGGACATTCTCTCCGAATCCTTCTTTTCCTACACCCTCGTCGTGTCTTCACCGTATTGATGGTAGGTATGGGTTGCGGATATGTGGCTGAGGTTGGGCGTCGCGTTCTGCCGTGGCATTTGCAGCGAATGGGGGATTGGCGGCACCTCCGTCGCAGCCGAAGCACTTAGATACCCATAGTCCCAGGACCCTCGCCCCTCATGAGACATCGTTGAGGGGTATTGTGGCATCTGATGAGTGGAAGTGCTCCACGGAGTCATGCTTTGTCCTGGAGGTGTCCTCTGAGAAACCGGTATGCCCTGTCCTGCTGATCCTTCGAGCCCTGCTGCCACCTTCTGGTGGGGCGATAGGCTAGAAGAGGCCAAGTTACGCGTGTAGACCGTTGAAGTAGTGGACGTGGGTACTGATTGTGGTGACACGTTTCGATGGGCGCTCAATGCTGCCTGTGGGGTGGCGCTTGGAGCGTACGAGGAGGTTGTGGAAAGTGGGAGATGCCCAGCACCGGCCGTTGAGGCATAGCTAGCAGACTGGTTTTGTTAGATTTTTGTTGCACAGAAAGTCGAAAGGGAACGTACATATTTGCTGATGATCTTCTTTAGTGCATGCGCGAGTATCTTCCAGGGAAATACTTTGACGTCTTTCTCGATATTGCGAGGTTTGGGATGGGGAAAGCCCATGATAACCTTGAAGAATCCCTCGCTATCTGGTCTTGCCTTCGAAACGGTGAGGGGGCGAAAACCCTCGAGGTTGCGACGTATGCGATTTTTCTCCTCCACGGTAAAGCGTACATTCACGAGTTGCTCCAGAAGATATATCGTGTCTACACTTGTGATGAAGCACTCGTCCTTTTCTTCCCACCAGATACAGCTGACGCAGATACGACGTGCATCCCGACCTTCTCCTGGAGTAGGCTCGAAGGAAGCCGTTATGGTGCTGCCATTTTGCGATCGTTCGAACCCAACAAGCCGCCTTTTGGCCTCCAACTCTTCCTGCGACCAATCGTCTGCCATCTTGTCAAGATCTCCGTCTATCTTTAGCACCGCCTTGCTCTGACTCATAGCATACGGATTGAAAGGCCGGACCGAAGAAGTGCTCCCACTCGCCTGCGCAAGATGTGTGGCTCGGACGAGGACTGGTGTAGAAATAGACGACGGTGAAGGCAAGACGGGGGCTGTGTGGTTTCGACCAGTACCGGCGAGGGGGTTATAGGGAGCATATGAATGCAGCATTGGCGACATCTGCGGAAGCTCGTATTCACCATGGCTCATGCCCATGCCTGAGGGTATTGCGTAAAGGCCTTTCTGCGACAGTTGCGAACCGTAGTTTGCTGACTTTGCTAGATTGTACCTGCTACTCTGTGCGTACGAACTGGCCAGCGCAGACTGGGTCGCCAGCGGTGACATGTGTGCAGAAGAATACGCTCCAGACATAGCGCGTGGCTTCGCAAACGTTCGCTTTGCAGCATTACCGTCGGAGAATTCTCGACCATTGCCAAACTCGGGGGAGTACTTTCGTTTTCTGGAGAAATCCGGCGATGATTGATATGCGAGGTTTGGCGACATGTCGGTATAGGTGAACTTTCCCGCGTTCGTTTGCGATCGTAGGTTGCCCATCTTATCTTCCATCTGCAGTTTCAACATCATGGTTGGATCGAATGTGTTGGTCAGTGGGAAAGGGGGCACCTCGACGTTCAGTACGTAGTTGTACCACGATTCGTCGTCTTCGTAGTCGACTTTTTGAAGTGCACCAACGCACTTCTTTTGGCCAAACATGAGTATGAAGGTATGCTGGTTCGCATCAAGGTTGTAATTCGTCCGGAGTTGCAACGTTACCAGAGATCCAGCTGTACCTTGCGCAGGTGTAATCGGTTCGGTGATTTCCGTTTCAGTATCTGCAAGTGAGGCGGGATGACGAGCTATTGCATCGATAAATGCTGGATTGGATTGAACGTCTCCTATGCCGCGTGACTCGTATGTCGAGCTAGGGATGTAGGGCACCTCTGCACTCGTGGACTCATGGCCTAGTAGCGCGGGCGCATCCGTGTAATGCGAGGCGAATGCGGGCTGCGCAATGCCTGGGTAGCTTGCAACCTGATTTGATCTGGTGGCTTCGGCATCTGGGACGTAGGTGGTCAGTCAAACATGCTAATCGATCTCACGTGGGCCAGTGCCGGGTTCAGCCGACCCAGCTTGGGCAGGTGCGCTTCCAAACTCGTCAGATGAGCCGCGAACCACTTACCATATACATATTCGTGGTTCTTGCCGTATCCAGACATTGACAATATTGCTATGGCTCTTGCAGCTGGGACGGCCTGAAGTCCACTGCCAAGGCTGAACTGCGCAACGCTGAAAACAGGTCCTGGCGCAGATAGCGAAAGGCGCGTGGTTGATCTTAGGAGGACACTATGTAGAAGTTAGCAGTCAGCCTCGCGTGGGGGGTTATAGGGCAGGCAGCAATGGAGGGGTTCAGGACTGGGTGTACTGACACGCCTCGAGGAACTGTCACATAGGGCATGGTCTACGCACCTGATATTCTGATAAGATAGGACAGGTCAGTTGGATAGTGATGAGCTTGTCAAGGTAATGTCGGCGAGGTGGCTGTCCCGTCTCGTTGACAGCCAAACGATGATGAGATGTAATCGAAACAGTGGGGCAACGGTCCGCGTCCTTCCCAGTAATACAGAGACAATAGGTCCTTGTTGCAGGAAGATGTTGCGACAAGTAGGTTCGATAAATTGCAGCAGATGTAATGCCAGGTAGACTTGGAGACAGTCCTGAACGGCCTTGTGACCAGCGAAGCCAACAAAAGTAGCCTGCTTAGAGACAAACGATCGGGATGTTCAAGAGTCCGATTCATACGGGAAGCACGGCGGTTTTGAGTCTGTGTCAAGACCGGAAGACTAAGGTCTTCACCCGCTGCAACTCAGACAATCAAAGCTCGCTACCGGGGAAGCAGGGAACGGGACTTGTTGCTCTCGCAACTGGAGACTGATTCAGAGCAGATGCCAGGTGCTGAGATGATTGTAAGTGAATTGATACGGAAAGCCGCATAAATCGACCTGCATTTTGATGTGACTGGCGAGTTGACTTACATTTAGGACAAAGGAGTAGAGAGACATGTACCAAGGGCTGACCAATATGCATGAGGCTAGGCAGCCTTGCCGTGCGGACAGTATATAGA